ATATATATATACACATATATCAAAATTTGAACGACCATCCAGATAAATCAAAGGTTAAAGCCTGGTGCGTAAAAGTTGCATTGCGGAGATCGGGAGCAACGAAAATGGCACAAGTCGTCCGTCTCAACAGCTGTCAAACTGACTGACAGAAAAATTTGCCCAAATTGTGCTCCAGCATCCATCATTCATACAGCAGTTATGATAGCCTACAAATATTACGCAGTGGAAACATTAACAGACAGCAATCCGCCCTACAGCCACACTTAAAGGCCTATTTGAAGACCAGTATGTATGACCACACATACACTGCACACACATGTACAATATAAACAGTGTAAAAAACGAATGAACTGATTATTATTTGGTTTGCTGGTTACCTTTCCGTAGCTCCTCACTGTGCGACAGCAAAGCGAGGAGCATCTCCGTGTTATTCGGTGCCTCTTTTGGAGAGTTGCGCTCACCATGTCCATCCATTGCTCATGATTCACGCTCACATTAATGCAATGTCCTGTTTGTGGTCTATCCACACTCATGCACAAAGCCAGGTGTTTTCAAATTTGCGTAGCACGAGCCCCGATGCGAACACAGGCGCGCGGGTCTGCTGGTGGAGTTCGCTTTTTACGCATCACTGTGTTGAAGGCTGTGCAGGATTACGCTGCGCCGTTTCCTGGGCGACGGGGAGATAGATTAACATCACCTACCGAGTACCTTTACCCGGAAGAAGAATAAACGGCCGAGGAGAGGAAAAGCCAATAGAGTTTCAGGTGGTAACGTTACTCAGACCCACGTTACAATATTGTAGCCGATTACTCTCCACATAACATGGAAATGATATCGAAAATGATTTATTTTCTTCACGTCTGTCTTACACTTGTTACCAAACACAAATCGAATTATATTAAATGACTTTTCTCCAACTATGAAATGACTTCGCCACATTATAGCCAGTTTATTCCCACTATTGGACGTACACTGAGCGATATTATGGCAATATATTGCTCATATATAAAAGGGAAAAAAAAAAAACAGTTCTGTTGCTTTTGAAAAACAAGGAAATATTCTACAGTTAATTCTGATAACAGTTTCAATATTGTTTCACAGAGGTCAATACTCTCTCATTCTCTTTCTCTGTTTTGAGTTAGAAGCCAAACAATGTGTTTAGGCACAACATCATGACATGAAATGTTAATGATATCCTAGTGGAAATCGGACTGATGCTGTTGAGAGTGCTGCGAGAACAACAACAACAACAACAAAAACAGAAATACTGTCTCAAATAAATAAATAAATAAATAAATAAATAAATAAATAAATAAATAAATAATAATCCTGAATTGGACACCGTTATGTTGCTTTGTTATGTAGTTCGACCATAGTGGTTTCTCGCGAGGACTCGCCATGGCAATCCATTTTTAATTCAGATTCCAGTACTGCCATGCGTTAAGGGAAGATTTGGCCCTCTGGGGACACTGCAATCTTGTGTAGACCCTCGCCATGGGCTGGCTTTTTAATTAATTCATTAATTTTTTTCAGGTGAGCAAAGAACATCGCTTATATGTAAAAATAAAAATAACATTGGTCCAGCTGTTATTTGTATTAAATAATTAAATAATCGCTTTATTTTCAAGTATCTCCACACTCGAAAGAAGATAAAAAATAGCACTGTTTTGTTTGTTAATAAAAATCATTATTATTAATGTACAGCGATACATTTTTAAACGAATTTTATATACTTGCTTTTGGAGTAATGTGAACAATAAGATTTTTATCCGATTTTAAACAAGTGATTTTACACACAAACACACGTGTGTACACACACACACACACGCGCGCGCACACAATCTTCATCTCGTGTGTTGAGTGCTCAAAGACAAGTGTTTATTTAGGGGAGAGATTGGCTGTTCAATAACATGTTGATCGGGGCAACACCCCAATGAATTTTATTGACACTGATCTTTGGCACAAAAGAGCGCCTGGGGAAATCACGGGTAGTGCCACAGCCGCCCCCGGGGCCGCTGATGAATCTAAAATCAATGTCCTATTTGCCTGTATTTCAGAAGTATATGAAATACATTTTGGAGAAAGGTGCGGGGTTCATGGGTGCTCCTCTTACTTTTCAGCTTTGTAATAATTTTTATGTCATATTGATCGCTCACTTTTGAGGGGGTGAGACCGACAGTAATGCGACAACAAAGCGATAAAATGACCATCAGAGTGATGGTCAGTCAGTTTGGAGAAAGTCGCAAGGAAGATAGAATAATTTCACGTTTTTAGTTTGAGGTTTCTTTTTGCGTCAATCGGAATTTGTAGATTTGGTTAAACTAATATTCAAAACAGTAGATCCGCCACAATTACACACACAAACACACACACGACACGGCCCACCACAACACACAGCACACAACACACACACATACACACACACACAAATTATATTTAAAATATAATGAAAATGTAGTGTCAATTACGACTTTACCACAGTAACACAAAAGCTTACTCCAGAAACAGGCCAAACTACCAAAACCATGCCTTTTCTTCTTCTTTGAATGCCACTAAATATTTGTATGAGCCACTAACAATGTCTCTGTTATCGGGACGCTTTGAATCCGACCACTACTAACAGGCTCCATCGCCTCCTTCCACTGGCAACCTCAGGTGTCCCACCTGTCGGGGCAGCAATGTGACACCTGTTGAGCATTTTGTGTCGGTGGGATGCGGGCGGCAGCGGCTCAGCGCCTGCTGGCAGTCTGTCTCACGGCCCGCAGAGAGGCTGCTGTTGCCACAGTGGGTCCCGTGGTCTCTCTCTCTCTGTGTATCCGCTCCCTGCGCTCCCGTTACAACCGCAGGCGGCGGGTGTGCGGTGACAGCACGCGCATAACATCTGCTAGTGCCATTCTCCAACAATGAAGGCTCATTACGCATTCATAACGTCTCCCACACGCAACGCAAAAAGAAGCGCCTCTAAACAGTCAGTACACATCACAACACGAGTCGGTGAATAAGGGGGTTTCCTGCAACTGTCACATCACTTTTAAAAAAAAATAATATCTTGGGGACATCTAAACCGGAAAAGGATCAAACTTAATATTTAAAAGTCTGAATCATTTTTTTTTATTTATAGAAGTGTGGTTTTCACAATAAAATTAAAACACTTTACAAGCTCCATTTCACGCCTTGGCAGAGTTCACTCAGCAAAACAAGAGCCGCCCTCAGTCCCGCTGTGCTCATTTGCTTGCTGTATTATCCTCTATTTCACGCCTAATTGTGACTCATTAACGGACCCCAGGACGTCAGATAGAGCTCAATAATGCCTGTATCCTTCCCCAAAAACCCAGACTGCAACGCATATGCACAGAGGAATTCATTTCAATTAGGATCTTACCTTGGCCCGAGCTGTACCGGGAGAAATTTCCGGTGTTTTGACAACTTGACCCCGGGTGTTCAAGCAACATTTTGAAGATGTTCCGATGTTCCAAACGGAAGAAAGCAGCGCCAGAAGACGCACGCCTGTTTGGTTCAGTTTTTATTTAAAAAAAGAAAACGCCTCACAAGCTACTGAGAATACAGGCTGGATTTAAACCCCGCACTTTCCTGGAGACTTATCCTCTCGAGATGGAGTTGTGCTCTGTTCGATGGCAGCTGGATTTCTGAAAAGTGTTAAAAAGGACGCCCGTCGACCTTTCTCCTTTCGTCTGCCGCCGAGAGCGGAAACTTTGAATATTCATCAAGTTGGCTCTTTGATTCCGCGTTGATAAGCTCGAGGTGAGATGGAGACGAGGGGTGGGTGGTGGCAGTGGGAAAGTGTGTGACCATTAGCGTCGTCAGCTGACCTGACTGTGAGCCCTGCCGGCGGTCTGAGACTTTACTTCAACTAAAGCGAGCGGCGGTCAGCGCTGCCTCTGTCCAGGGTGCTGAAAGGGGAGTTTCTCTGAACAGGCTGGAGGCGTGTGTGCTGCTCCTATATCTCCCAGTGAACAACCAACACCACAACCAATACATACATATATACACCTACACACACACACACACACACACACACACACACACATTTGCCCTCCCATCTCCTTATCTAGTTGTGGTGCACGTGTCTGTCTTTCAAGGCGCACAATGGGGCAATTGGGCATCGCTCGGGACATTGTTTTCGTGCGTTTACATCGCTGCATCTCTCTTTTGTTAGGTTTAAAATAGACCGCATCGCATTAATGATACAAGTGGAGGGAGCCAACATACCGTTATGTTCACTTATAGCTACTGTAGGGTGTCAAAATTAGGATTTAAGTGATTTATTTCTCTCGTCTTTTTCCCCGTATTGTTTTCCATGAATTTGTTTTTATTGGATTGTTCTGTGCTTCCTGTAGTTGTCGTTTATGTTTTTGTCCCATTTTCAAAAATTGAGATTAGGGTTAGGGTTGAGCTTAGTTTTTATTTATTGTTATTGTTTGTTTTTTCTCCTTAAGGTAGGGGAACCTGTGGCTTCTTGACCTGTCCTAATAAACGTTTATATTTTAATTATCTGGATTTTAAACAGTCTTATGTATGTGCAAATAAAAACCTAAAATAAAGTAAAAGGCTTGCCCATATAACTGCTGGGATTAGCTGACAGTAGTTTATGTGTAAGTTTTAAACGCTGTTTTAAAGGAAAACTGTGATAAAGTCTTTACATCAGCTGATTTTAGATTGAAAAACATGACCACTAACACACAGTAGAGAAAATGAACACTTATGGTTAATTGGTAAAATAGCTAAAAAGTACTGTATCTAAATTATGCTGTCCTGTAAAATGGCAAGCCAAGCATGCGCTTGCGCAGAACTGATGTGCTATTTGGCTGTGTGCCATGCGTCATGCCTTTGACACTGTGCCAATTACCACCACAACGCGCAAAACTACTCTGACATGGTCCTACAGCTTTGATTCAATTTTACTCGCCCAGCAGGCCAGCCCACAAGTGGTGTAAGCCAATTAGACCTATGCTGTTCATTAGTCCACTAAGGGCAATTAGCCCAAACTTTGAAAGAAATCAACCATCCAGTGATTTCACTACATTCACATGATTTTAAAAAACAATATCCCGGTGGATATTTGTTTTCATGGATGAGAAGCAAATAACATTTTTGTGTTTTCAGGGGGCAGTAATCTCTGGTCAACAGTTGAGTGTGGATCTTTATGCAGATTAAGGGAGAACTGTTTGTAAATCTGGAAGGAGCTGTACACAGTAACCTAAAGCCAATGCAGCATCAAAGGAGCTTAGACTACAAGCACAACAACAAGACTGCTTTCCTATTCCTTTCATCCACTGTGAGAAGAGAGTCTTTGCTGTTTCCACACTGTGCATGGTGAAGATGTGTGACATATGCATGTTTAAGATCTGTCGAATATCGGCTCTCAAATCTATGAACCATTACTAAATCATTTTCTTCTAATTTATTATTTTGATATACTACAAAAACAAAATTATTGCTTATATCACCAAGTC